CGATCAACGGACAGGAAGCATGTTGCCAAACAATCTCCAGATGTCTCCACACACACACACACACACTTTTCTCCGGGGGGGGCGTGAGTGGACAGAAATATTCGACGTCTCTACTGAGATCAGCATTGATGTCGGGGGCGGGGGGTGATTTAGAATCTCCCTCGAACGTGTAAGGCTTCGAATCTATTGTCCATCTACTGGCACACACACACACACACTGCGGCCTCTCTTGGCCCGATGGCGGAAGTTGTTACGCGTTCCTTCTCTTCACGGGCCCCTTCCAGGCACGGGGCCAAGAGGCGCTGTCTTAAATCAAGCATGTCCCTCTACAGGAGGAATGTGCACAAATAGTCAGAAAATAACTCAGGGACGTTTTTGTTGGCTACTTTAAACTACTCTTGAACTTGTTTGGACTATTTGATCGCTTCGCTCACTCCGCCGCCCCGTATTGTGCCATCGCAGGCGTTTGCCTGCGCGTTCGTGGCCTCTTGGCGACCGTTTGGGGGCCTCTTGGAGCCTCTTTTTGGCCCGATTGGCGGTATTTCTGGGACCTCCTGGGACGTCACGGGGGCCTCTTGGGGGTCTCTTGGGGCCTCTCGGGGGCTTCTTGGGGGCCTCTTGGGGCCTCCAGGGTACCTCTCTGCGCCTAGAGCTCGAACTGTCCGTCTGGGCCTCTCGTCTGGGCCCGCTCTTGGAGCCGTCTTGGGTGCCTCTTCGGCCAGCTTGGAGGCCTCTGGGGCTGTCTTGGGCCCCTCTGGGGCCGTTTCGGGCGCTCTTGGAGGCCTCGTGAGCCGTGTTGGGGCGATCCTGGAAGCCTCTTGGGCCGTCTTGCAGCGCCGATAAGCCGAAAAGGCGAGAACGCCAAAAACCTCAAAGAAATTGAAGGAAAATCACAAATTTCTGAATCCGTGGGCCCTCTTGGGAGGTCTCTTGGAGGCCTCTTGGGGCGACTTTGAAGGCGCTTTGGGCTGTCTGGAGGCCATCTTTGGCGTCTTGGATCGCTCTTGGACCGCCTCGGACCATGTTGAGCTCTCCTGGAGGCCACTTGAAGCGCTCCTGGAGCGCTCTGGGGAGCCTGCTGGGACCTGACCAGGACCTATGACAGATGTGTCACCCCGGGAACCGCACTTCATCGCTCTCTGAGCACCTGGCCTTACGGATGTCCTGGACGCGCTCTAAAGAGGCTCCGGGAACGACCGTTTGGGTTTGCTTAAGTTTTGGATGGTTCCGTATCCAGTTCGTCCGGTCTCGTCGAATCCGTTTTCGTTTTGTCGGCTTCCATCTGTTTCCGTTTCGCCCGCTGTCGTTTCGACCCAGCGAGTCGACCGGGCGAACCGAGACCGGGCGAATCGAAACCGGGCGAATCGAAACCGGGCGAAGTGAAACCAGACGACATGAAATCTGACGAAATGAAACCGCACGAATCGACGCCAGGCTCGTCAGAGCCGGACGAGTCGAAATCGGACGAGTCAAAGATCGGACGAGTGGAAATTTTGGACGAAACGCAGCCCGGAGGAACGCCGGGCGAATGGAAACTGGGCGAACCGTAGGGTGCGGCACGAAGCCGGCGCAGCGAAGCGGACGCGACGAAGCGGACGGAACGCAGCGGGCGGAGCGAAAGCCGGACCAGGTGAGGGAGGATCGAAGCCACGCTGGCCCGAGTGACCAGCTCGATCCACCCCGTGCGTCTGCCCAATAAATACTGGCCGCCTCCTTCGGTGGTGGACTCCGCGGCCACATGCCCGCATCGCTGGCCCCGCTCGCGGTCCTGCTCTGCGCCTGCGGCCTCCTGGCCTCGGATGCGGCGCGGGTGAGGGCGGCCGTGGACGAGGATCAGGAGGGGAAAAAACACACAGACACAATTAATCGTCGATCCCCAAGAAAATGTGGGAACATATGGGCAGTGGGAGGGAAGACAGAAGCCCAGAACATATGGGAAAATATGGGGAACATGTTTATTTGTGTGTATTTCTCTGTGTGTCCTGGGGCCCCTTGAGAGGAGGCCCTCACCTTCGCAAACCTGCGGGCGGAGCGCTTCTACGCCGCGGAGGGCGGCGGCAGGTCCGAGGAGGACTGGGACTGGCTGAACGAGCTCGGAGAGGAGAGGGGGCTGCAGAGGCAGAGGCTCCCTCGGAGCTCCGCGCGGAGTTCTCGGCTCGGCGCCGGGGCCCCTTTGGCGGCGCCTCCGGCGTTGCCCCCATGGCGCGCTCCGCGCGAGAGAGGCCGAGGGGATGCCCAGCGCCGAGCCGGGAAGTTCGCGGTGAGCTCCGAGAGCTGATGCTTCGGCCGTTGCTTCTTGTCCGGCAGTCAGCTCGACAAGGTTCGGGCCACGCGCAGAAGGGGGGCAGGGGGAGGAGGGAGGCTTCTTAGAAGGATGCTGCTTCTTGGAAGGCGCGGGCCCTCTCTATAGAGGTGAGGCTGGCGCCTTCCAAGAGGTAGCCTCCTGCCAAGAAGCCTTCCCCCTCCCCCTGCTCCTTGGGCGCTCTGCCCAAAGGTGAAGACGAACCTGCACGAGTGCCAGGTTCAGGAGGGGACAAAACGCACAGATACTACTCATCGTCGATCCCCGGCAAATGTAGGAAATATGGGAAGTGGAGGGGGGGAAGGCATGGAAAACATCAAGAACATGCAAATATGGGGACCTCTGGAGTCTATATATGTATATATGTATTGGGTAGCCTGGGACTTGTGCCTCCTCGCTTGTGTGCCCCTGGGCCCCCTGCCTGAGGTGAAGACCCGGGAGGAGCTCGAGAGGCTGGGGCAGCAGGCCCGCGAGGGGATGGGGTGCGCGAGCGACCAGGCCCTGGCGGTCCTCGGGCACGTCCGCGAGTTCTTCGAGGGCCTCCGCATGGGCGACGACGGGCCGGCCGAGGAGCTCCCCCAGACTCAAGCAGTGGCGAAGCGCCTTGGCTCGCCAACAGCCCACCCAAAGAATGTTCTAAGAACCTTTTTGTGGTTTCCACGAAGTGTTGTTAGAACATTTCTGGTTGATATTGATATGTTTTAACACATCGGGCTCATGTTCTAAGAACATTGCTTTCGTTCTTAGGACACTTTTGGGTTATTAGAACATCTTGTGGTAGGACTATAGGAATGCCGGGACGGTCGGTCCCTGCTCAACAGGCCGAAGAAGAACATAACAAAAACGGCGCAAGCAGAAACTTTCGGCGGTCCGCGCTGATTTCTCGGATCTGCGCTGGGCCCCCCCTGGCGGCGCTTCCGGCGCCGGCCCTGGGGTCCAGCGCAGATCCACGATATCAGCGCGGACCTCTAAAAGTACCGCTACCCTGGCCTCGCTTTCCCTTCTGTGGGCCTCCTGGGAGGCCCTCGTCGCCACCGGTGGGTTCGCCTCGAACTTCTGTTTGGTTTCCCCGAGGAGTTCGTCCAGAGCGTGATGCGGTGGCCGAAGAAGAACAAACATACGCGAGCATGAGCTTTCGCACAAGTCCGGTCGCAAGTGGCGAGACAGAACGGAAGTCGCGCCGCGTGGAGCTCGCCCCCGCCCTCCACAGTCGACTCCAGCGCATCGAGTTTTGCACGGGCGGGGAGGCGTCCAGCCAAGAGTCAGCAGGGAAAAAAACACACAGACACAATTAATCGTCGATTCCCCAGAAAATATTGGAACATATGGGAAGTGTGGGGGGGAAGACAAAAACCCAGAACATATGGGAAAATATGGGGAATATGTTTATTTGTGTGTATTTATTTGTGTGTCCTGGGGCCGCTTCAAAGAGCCCAGCGCGCACGTCATCTTTGAGGGGCCGCTCAACAGAGAGCATCCAGTGTGCCTTTCAACTCTGCAGGAACCGCTCACCGATGGCGCATCGTCAAAAGCCGTCTGGCGTCGTCGCGTTAGTTGCGACCAGACTTGTAGCTCCGCGTGGATCTCTCGGATCTGCGCTGGGCCCCCCTGGCGGCGCCTCCCGCGCCGCCCCTGGCGCGTTCCGCGCGCCGGCGAGGGAGTCCTGGATCCGCGCGGACCTCCGTCATGTATATGCCGTGTTTTTCTTCTAGGTGGGGGGGCGCATACCCGAAGCTGGCCCAGCGACTGCGCACGGACAAGGTCGACTAGACGTATAAGAGTTACCCTTCGCCAGAGTGACTCTTGGTGCGGGCCCACTGGGGTTCTCGATCGCGGAATGTGATGCGATGGCAGCGGCTTGCGCGCTTGGACTTGCCCTCCCCGCGGCCCAGTAAAGCCGCGCACCGGAGGTCACTCTGGCCTAGGGCTCACTCTTGGCGTGCAGCGGACAAGGCCATCGTGCGCTCCGAGAAGCTGCGGGACGCGCTCGGGCGGGTCATGGAGGACAACACGCCGCGCGGAGAGGAGGAGCTTGTGGACCACCTGCTGAGGCACCTCGGCGCGGAGAACCTCTCGAGGCAGGAGGTCATCTTCGAAAAGACGCTGGGCACCGGGTCCATCGCCCAGGTGGTGCTCTTCCGCATCAGGGGCTCGCAGAGGCTCATGAAGATGACCTGGCCCGAGGACGAGGAGCACTATGCGCACGACTTCAGGACCTTCAAGCGCTGGGATACGATTTCCTGGGGGGGCTCCAAATTCACGTGGCTGATGTCTGATCTCACAGGTAAGAAGCTTGGGCAGTTCAGGGTTTTCCTGCAGGCGGTGCTCACAAAAGAGCGTGACATATTCAACGAGTTCGACATGACGCGCGAGTTCGAGGCCACGACAGAGGGGGCCGAGCTCGTCGAAACGTGTGCGGCGCACATGCTCCCAGCGTACGAGGCCCAGTCTTCACCTTTCACACTCCGGGTCCCCCGTGTGGTCAACCATGGTCAGTACGTGTTGGAGCAGAGTTTCGCTGGTGGCAAGTCGCTCGAGGAGCTCCAGATGGCGGCGGCGAACAGCAGCAATACGTTGATGCAACAGATTCAACACCTCTCCAGGGAGAATGCTTCGACAATGGACGGACTGTTGCGGCAGCTGGCAGTCTTTGCAGCAAACCCGAGCACAGTTGCGCCCGTGGCTGCCAACGGCGCGGCAATGGATCTCAAGGTTGCCACGTCCGCGGCAATCGCCTATACTCAGGGCTTCCTCCCAGTGTTGGGATGCATGCTCATGTTTAGGGGCAAAGCCCATGCTGATGCCCACAGTGGCAATCTTCGGTACGATGAGCAAAGCAATGAACTATGGGTCATCGATTGGGGGGCGATGGTAGAGCTGGATAGCCAGCAGCGTGCCGGATTGCAAACTTTGGTCACAGAGCTTGCTCGAGGTGAGCTGGACTCTGTGGACTTGACAGCAACGGCGAATGCAGAAGTCCTGCTTGCGGGGAGTCACTTTGGAGTCAACATTTGGCAGAATTTGTTCGATCCAGAGCAGTACGAAGTTCCAACGGATTTGAATATTCCCGAGCTAATGAAGAGTATGAACAACCCGAGGCTAGTCCTTTGCATCGAAAGCATTGTTCTGGCCAGCAGGATGGTCATGGGCATCAACCAAGCAGGGCGCAAGTTGATGACACAGTCGGGCCGCTGGTTTGCAAAGCCAGAAGCGTCCAGCTCAGTGTGGAGGCCTTCGCTGCTCAGCCAGTGGTCATCTGTTGCAAATCTGGCGTTATTGAAGGCCGCGAAGGCGGGTCTTCCTGGCAACCTTACACGCCTGTTCCAGCGACACGCCGATCCGTCTGCACGCTTCTTGGATACAACGCACACGGTTCTCATGCGCTCAGCAGTGGCTGGGAATCCAGCCATGGTGGCAGCGAGTTTGAACCATAGTTTGGCTGTGCCTGTGTTGAAGCTCCATACACAGTTTGGTGACAATGCGCTGCATCTTGCTGCAAGTAGTGGCAACGCCGCTTCAATAGAAGCCATGGCAGCACTGTTGGAGACTGTGCCACTCTCGCAGGAGCGAAACTTGGCTGGAAAGACACCTTTGATGCGCGCAGTGCATGCTGGGAATGTCGAGATCGTTAAGACGCTGTTGAGTTTACCAGGTGCCAGGCAGTCTTTGGCAGTTCGGGACTGGAACAACAAGACTACCTTATCCTTAGCAAGTTCAAGCGGGAACTCTGAGATAGTGCATCTGCTGACTGCCATCTCAAATCTCACCACTTGACCAGCGCATCCTCTTTGGCTCTTGCAATGACTCACGCATTCCCAAAACATGATCTCTTCGCACATGTCAACCTACGTTTGCTGCTCGCTTCTGGTCAGTATTAGGTGGGAGTGGGTAGTACGATTGGGCGTGTGCTTGACATCTCATGCCGCGTATGATCAAACATATGTCTTCGTCAGTTTATTTACTTGTGCTGTTTATTGCGTCCCTTCGTTATACATGCAGTCGTTAGTTCTATCGCTGTTTCACTGTGTTTGCTCATCGTCGCGGTTGCTCCTAGGATAGTTGTATGTGTTTGTAGGTTGCTTGTCCTCGCTTAGTGTTTTCTGGCTTGCTTGCGCATGGCGTGTTTATGATGCGAGGTTCGTTTCGTTCTACTTGGGGAGAGGGGCGGGCAGCTCCTGGTGCACGCATGGTCCAGGAAGGAGTATGCATAGTTCGGGAGGGCACCTGTAGTTCAGGTACCTTCAAAGTCTCTGGGAGGAGCTCCTGTAGCTTGGGTGGAGTACCTCTAGCCTGGGAGTACCTGTAGTCAAAGGGTCAAGACTCGTTGAGGGACCCAGGCTTCCCGGTTGTGATATATGCTTGTCGTGATGTGCGTCTGTCGCTTCTGTGACGTTTTCATAGGTCATCTTATTAGCCTGTCGTTGTCACAGTTTCTTTTCCTGTTTTGTGTGATGTGTGATTTTGTTTACCCGTCCGTTCGATTCAGGCCTAATTTCAGTAGTTCATTGCGTTTCTAGTTTCCCGCGTATTTCTGTGACAACTGCGTCGGCTGCGGCCATCCTCTTACTAAATGTGTTTTGTCTTGTCTGCACTCATATGTGCTCCGCCTTGCCGAGCACGGTGTATTCCCTCGACTAGCGGACATTGCTGTGTTGACGCACTTACCCGGCTGCCCGCAGCAGGCCCCGCCGCCGTGCCAGCGCAGTATTGCGTTTGACGGCGCTGCGAGTACCGCAAAGAAGCCAGCGAGTATTGTGTTTCCTCCCGCACAGCCCCGCTGCTGCTTGGTGAGTGGGCCGGCCGGCTTGCGGCGCGTCTTGTCGCTAATTAGCCTTGTTCGCTGCCCCGGACAATTGCTTTCGCCGCCTGCGCTCTTCGCTTGCGGCCGCGACCCTAAAGAGCACCGCAAAGGAGGCCGTGCACCCCCCTCGACATCAAACGCACGTTCTTCCCACGACATGGCGACGCCCCCGGGCCCCTCATTTCGTTGTTGACGCCGCTGCTGGCGACTGCGGTTTTTTGTCGACCCCCGCGGGCCGCGCTGCGCGCGGCCGTCAACATTGAAATGTTTGGGCGACGGGGGTCGGACACGAACTTGCGTCTGATTTCGAGGAGGGCTGACGGCCTGGACGACTGGTGGGGCCAGGCAAAGAGGGAATACAGTCCGGGCGCTGAGTAAGGAACCCTTCTCGTTGGGGAGGGGCTCCGTGTTCCTTAATTGTTTCGCAGCTTGCCGTAGGTTGTCCTTAGGTTTTGGATGGGGGATCGAAGTTTAACTTCTGGAAAAAAGGGGCCTCGTTCCTTATTTAGGGTTCCTTAGGTCAATGCCCCGACTGCGCAGACGACAAGGGACAGGGGGGGGAGCGCACCAGCCCAAGGGAGAGGGCGCCCGATGCTTCTTCTGGAGACCGGAGGAGTGGCGCACAGTCAGGTGAACGCAGTGCGTCACGATTTGCCACGCACGCAAACGCGCGCTGGAAAGGAAGGGGACGCGCCAGCGGCGGCGCCGAAGGGCCGAACCGCCTCGGTGGGCGCCCAAGAAGGCGCCCATGGCGGGGGCCGGCTACGCCGCGGGCTGCGGCAAGCGCTGGAGCAAGCGCTTGGGAACGTCTGGGTGGGTTTTGGGCAGCACCCGCAGACGCTCGCCAGCGCCAGGGAGCCTCGGCAGATCCTCGACGCATTCGGGTGGCACCTGGGAGCGCGCTATGGAGGGTTCGTTGACGAGGACAGCTGGTGTTTTCGCAGATCCCATATAGATCCCAATGCGCTTTCCATATAGCTTTCGTCGTGAGATCCAATGCGATCCTACATTTAAAAGAGCCTTAAAGTTTGTCCTTTTTTAATGAGACCCGTGTGGGATCTAGTGAGAAACAATGTGGGAAGTGCATTGGGACCTACTGCTAAGGCCTCACGGCCGGTGCCGCTGACCCTGGGGGCTTCGGCTCTCCCGACACGCCCCGGGAGGGTGGTATTCTGACCCAGGACCACGCCCCGGGACCACCCCCTGGACCCCCCCCATCCCCGGGGAAGGAATCAAAGGGAAGGGGCTTCCCTTCGACTCAATGACAACGTTGCTTAATTTCGTTGTGGATGGGCTGGTGTATTTCGCTTTGGCCAGCGTGCTTGAGAACGAGGGCCCAAGGGAAGGGGGGGAGCGGCGATGGACTCAGGGGAAGGAGGGGACGCGATGGCGGCGGCGACGCGACGGCGGCAGCGACGGCGATGGCGACGGAACAGCCCCTGTCACACGCCGACAGGGCCAGCGGATTTGAGATCCGTACGGGATCTATCTGGGATCTGTGAAAAAGCAGTGCGATGCAGCGCACCTGGGGCCCAGAAGCAGCCGGCAGAGAGCTCCGACCGCGCGCAGGGCCGCTCCGCAGGGTGCCCCCGTGGCGCCCGCGACCCGACGCGATCCGCGGCCTGCCCGCGGCACGCTCGCGACGTGCCCGCCGTGGCCCGACTGCGCGGCGCGGCCCGACGAAGCAGAGAGCCCCCGACGGCCCGGAGGGAAGCGGGGCGCGGCTGCCCGGAGGGTTCCAAGAGGGGGTTTTTGGGGGAGGGGGTCTTCCAGGAGGGGTCCCCCAGGGGCTTCGCACCCCCTGTTTTGGCGAGGTTCCGAGGCCCCTGGTGGGCTCTCTGGAAAGCCCCCTCCCCAAAAGCCTTCTCTGGAACCCTCCGGACTGCCGTCGCCGTGTGGGGCATGAGCGCTGGCCTGGCGATCTTCCAGGTGCTGCTCAGTTGCCAGGCTGCTGCTGAGGAATTGCCGTCAATGTGTTCACGAGTGGCGATCACAGCGGAGTGCTGCGATGATTTCAAGCAGGGCAGCAGAGGCAAGGGGGGGAACACGCACGGCAGCCAACGGGCACCTCTTCAACAACTTCCCGGCAACTGCAGAACACACGATGCAAGGCGGATCGAACGCGGGCGCGGCGCCGCCGCGCACGCCGAGGGGGCGTCGGATTGAGCAGAAAAACAAGAGAAAAAGTGAACATCCCTCCTCGAAATCAAACGCAGGCTTTTCCCACGGCATGGCGACGCTCCCGGGCCCCCCATTTCAATGTTAACGCCGATGTTGGCGACTGCGTTTTTTTGTTGGCCCCGCGGGCCGCGCTGCACGCGCCCATACAACATTGAAATGTCGGGCGAGGGGTTCGGATGAAAACTTGCGTTTGATTTCGAGGAGGGTTGTAGCATGTGATGCCTCTGCGGCACATGCGCACCCACGCACTCACAAAGCATGCACGTAGTGTGCAGCCCTCGCCAGAGTACCAACTTGCGCCAGATTGGGCCCGCCAGATTGTCGCCTGACTACCTTCGAATATCCAGGTATGCATACGTGTGCACGTACGGCCCCAGGAGAGCTCATTCATATACATACACCTCCACGCTCTGGATTGTCCTGTCGTCCTAGCGTCAGCTATGTTTCCAGCTCGGCTTGGTGATCTCGCGTGAGCCCCAGCCACATCCCCGGTTGGGGAAGGTGCCGCTGCTTCGGCCCGAGCGGCTGCTGCCGCCCGGTGTTCGCGCGCGCGCGTGCAGACGGGCGCGCGCGGGTTCCCTCGCCCCCTCTGTTGCCGCGCGAGCCCCACACGCACACGCGCACGCACGCGCAGGCGGATGGCGAGTGCACGTGCAGCGCCCCTGCCCCCCCCCAAAAAAACAACAAAAAAACAACAAAAAACAACAACAACAACAACAACAACAACAACAACAACAACAACAACAACAACAACAACAAAAACGCGCAGCGCCCCTGCCCGCGCTGTCGGCCAGCCTGGCCCAGCGTGGCCCCCCCCCGCCGCCTGCGGCGCGTGCGCGCTCGCCCGCGCTGTCGGCCCAGGCGCCGCCCGGGCACCGGCGCCGCCCCGCCCAATGTAGGCCGCGAGGGAGGCCGCGGCCCGGGCGGCCTCCGCCGATGGGCGCCAGCGACGCCGAGAGCAAGCAGGTGTACGCCGCGGAAGCGAGGACGCGCGATGCATTCTTCTTTTTCTTCTTCTTCTTCTTCTTCTTTTTCTTCTTCTTCTCATTATTATTAGTATATTATTATTATCATTATTATTAGTAGTATTCTTATTATGATGATGTGTCCTTTCTCCTCAATAATACCCCAGCATGCATGTGGCAGGATCCTTGGGCCTCGGGGCCTTTTCGAGGAGTTGACAGACGTACTGCGGGAGACAGGACGCTGCACGCTCGAGCGTGGCCGCCATGGTGGCCGATGGCGGCCCTGCCCGGGCGGCCTCCTCGCGATAGCTGCGTTTTTTGCACCCCCTCCTCCTCCGTCCTTTGCCCCCTCGCCCTTCTCTCTCGCACGTCGGCCGTCGCCGGGGAGCCGGCGGGTCCGGAGGGAGACGGGGCCTGCTGCCTGTCGCCGCTGTAGGCCTCCCTGGACCCTTCACGGACCCAGGGGCTGCTTGAAAACGGCTCAGGGCGACAAGCTGGTCCTGGGGGAAGGCCCCGGCTTCCACGACCCGTTTCCCTCGGGGCCCGTTTGCTTCATGCCCCAAACGGAGGGGGAACCAACCCCGCACGGTGCATGACCTGGCTCTGGTGACCGGGTGACAGCTGCGAGGGCGGCGTGCAATCTGGACTCCCAAGCTCCGCCCTCTCGGGAATAAGCCGAAGACGAAAAACACTATACGAGGCGCCGCCAGCCGCCAGGGGGGGCCCAGCGCGGATCCAAGAAATCCGCGCGGAGCGCCAAAAGTTTCTGCGTATGCCGTTGCTTGTTCCTCTCAAGCAGGGGGGGGCGGGCAGGTGGCTGCTGCGAGGGCGACGCGCAACCTGGGCACCCAAGCCCTGCCCTCTCGGGAAGCAGGAGGAGGAGGAGGAGGAGGAGGAGGAGGAGGAGGAGGAGGAGGAGGAGGAGGAGGAGGGCGGGGGGGGAACTACCTCGTTCGGCCGAGGACTCCCAGCTACGTCTTCGTCGGCTACCTGGTCTCGTTCCTCATGGGGGTCGTGGGCGGCGTGGTGCCCCCCCCCCCTTGCGTCTCCTCGCGCGGCCTCCGCGCCTGCCCTCAGCGCACCCGGGGGCGTGCGCGCCGCCTCCGATGGACCTCCCGGGCGAGGCGAACCCCACCGCACCACCCCTCGGGGCTCGCGGGGCGGTGGGGTCGGGCCCGCGCGCGGCCTCCTGCCCGAGAAGGCCTCGGCGGGGCGCCCCCCGGCGGGGTCCGGCGCCAGCGCGGCAGGGGCCGGTCCCCTCGCGCGTGGCCTCCCGGGGGCCTCGGCGGGGCCCTGCCCCGCGGAGCCCCGCAGCCCGGCAGGGGCCCGGCGAGCGGCGCGCCCTCCCCGTGGCCTCGGCGGGGCTCCCGGAGGGCTCGCGGGGCCCTTGCAGCTGGCGATGCCGTCGCCTTCGGGGGCCGCGCCGGGGGGAGGGAGCGGCTCGCAGGCCTGCCTGCAGGGGGCCTCCAGGGGTCTCCGCTCCCGGGGCCGCTCCGCGGCAGAAGGCGGCGGGCCAGCAGAGCTCCTGCGGGAAGCCTCCAGCGGCAGCCGGGAGCTGCCAGAGACATCAAGAGGGGCTCCTGGGGGCTTTCCCTGGGGAGGGGGCGGGGGGCGCCCAGAGGGTGGGTGTCTAGACATGTCTAGACTGGGGCGAGGGGAGCAACGCAGTTGGGGGGGGCGGCGGTGGGAGAATTCGCTTGCACGAACTAGTGTGCGAACTCTTCCGCGAAGTACTTCTGGCGGCGCGAACTGTTGCGAGGGGCATAAGGTATCGCCTGTAAACGCGTACACGAGTGCATCCACGCGCAACTATTGCGCCCAGACCGCTAACTCTTGCATCCATGCAAAAACTACTGCAAGTACCATTGCACGGGCCCCCCCATCATCTGTGCTATCCCCACTACTCCGGCTTCAAGGGTGGCGCAGGGCCGCTGCGCAGGATGTCGCTAATCTCCAGGCTTCTTCAAGGCCATGGCGGGCGGCAGGCCATCCAGGGACTTCTGGGGAGCTTCCGACGGCTTCAGCGCAACATAGCGCAACCCCGCAGGCTTCTGAAGGTGGCCTGCCTCCCCAGGGGCGAGGGGCGCCAGGGCCTCTTTCCGGTCTCACTGGGGCAACCCCGTGACGGCCTGTCGGCTCCCTGGGCCTCTCCCTTTGGTAGCGCTCGGACGTGTGCACTTTTTCTCGGCGGGGATTATTTATGGAGCATCCTGGATCCTCCTGCGAAGAAGCCACGCACGAAGCCGATGAAAGCACAGAGAATGGACGTCCGAGCGACGGGGAGTGCTCCCCGTGGCCTCCGGGGCACCTCGTGGGGCCACTGCAAGCCCAGGCAGGCCTGTGGCGACCGACCGGCCGGCTTTCCCGCCTCCAGGGGATCTGCTCTCCCGCCTCTCCGGAAGGAAAAAAACACGCAGACGTAATTAATCGTCGACTCCCAGGAAAATGTGTGAACATATGGGAAGTGAGGAGAAAGACGAAAACCCAGAAAGCATGGAAAAATATGGGGAATCCTCTTATTAGTGTGTATTTATTTGTGTGTCTTGGGGCCCCTTCAATCTCTCCACCCCGGGGGGCAAGTCGGCAGTGGCACCAAGGCCGCGCCGGAGGGGACGGGAACCGGTGAAACGACACTCAGGGGAGGCAGACCGCCCCCAGCGTTCTGCAGCTTCCTGGCAGGTCGCCCTGAGGCCTTTCACGGGGGCCTCCAGGGCCTTCGGGACCTTCGGTGCCAGAGCCTCTGTGCTCCTCCTCGGGACAGGCCCCCGTGGATCCACTGCGTCGTCGCCCCCCCTGCCCCGACTCTGGGCCGGGCGAGCGCAGCCTTCTTTTTGGAACGCGGCGTGGCATGGGCTTTCAGATAGGCAGCGCAGAGGACGATCGCCATCATACAGCCGGTGTCATTCGTCATCGGCATCCGATCTTTATCCCCGCCATCAGGAGGTCTGTAGTCATTTGGGCTCACGCGCAAGTGGTGTGGATCGAGCTCGGTTGCATTGCCTCTTCGCCCAGCCGTCGCCGGTGGATTGAAAGCCGAGCCAGCATCTAGAACCCCGAGCGGAGGAGAAGCTCCGCAAACCAAAATGGTCCCGCAGGTCCAGCTGGGCGAATTTGGACCAGATCCGAAAGGCGCAGGTCCCTCAGATGATCCGATTTTGATGCCCGCACTAGGCTACGGCATCGGCACGGCGTGGTTCCGTGCAGAGGGAGACGCGAGCAAGGCGCAAGCCCTGAAGTCTTGCATCAAGCAAGCCCTGGACCTTGGGTTCCGCCACCTGGACGACGCGGAAATGTACGAGAATTGCAGGATCACCGGGAGTGCGGTGCGGGAGTGGCTGCTTGAAGGAGATACCCCCAAAGAAAGCTCCACGCGTCGAAAACGCTCAGACCTCTTCATCACCCAAAAGGTCGACAACTTTGATGCGCAGCCGATCCAGGACACCTGCGATACACTGCTGGAGAAAATGGGCCTGGAGTATTTTGATTTAGAGTGAAGGCCTTACGGCTGGTACCGCCGACCCTGAAGGCGGGACCTCCCCCGGGACCTCCGTGCCCAACCCCCGTCCGCACCCCCATCCGTACCCCCCCCGTCAGGGAGGGGTAAAGGGGTAAAGGGGTAAAGGGGCAAAGGGGAGGGAGTCGACTTCACTACGGCGTGTCTTTTCTCTGTTCGTTTTCCTTCTTGAGACCGACGACGACGACGCATACGACGACAAAGACAAAGACAAAGACAGAGACAAATACAGAGACAAAGACAAAACAAAGCCGACGACGGCGTCCCACGCACGCCGAAGGGTCGGCGGATTCCTGCTACACAGCCCGTTCAACCGGAAGACGAGCCAGCCCTACGCAAAACCGCTCAAAGACGCCTGGCGCGAGATGCAGCAGCTGGTCGTATCAAGGAAGGTTCGCGCCGTGGGGGTGTCGAACTTTCGGATTCAGGATCTGGAGCAGGTTCTGTCGGCGTGCGAGGCGTGCGACGAAACGCCCGCGGCCGGCATCCGCCCAGTCTGCAACCAGGTCGAGGGGAATCCCTTCCTGCAGCAGGCGGGGCTGCTGGAGTTCTGCTCGCGGGAGAAGATCACGCTCACCGTCTACGGGCCGCAGCTGCCCGTGACCCGGTCCTGGGAGACGGCGCCCGGCCCGGGCCCCTCCGCGGGCGGCGGGGCAGACGCGGCCGTGCCGCCGCTCGTGCCGACCGGGCGCTACTTCACCAGCGCGGGCCCGGAGGCGGCGCCCGGCGCCGCGGCGCAGGCCTGCGTGGACGGCGCCGCGCGCCGCCTGGGGAGGACCCGCGGGCAGGTGCTGCTGCGCTGGGCCTACCAGTCGGGGCGGGTGCCGATCTCCACCACCAGCTGCGAGGCGGCGGTCGGTGCCTCGCCGCCGCCTTCGGGGTCGATCGTCGGGGACCTCGGCGGGCAGCGGGTCTGCACATGGTCTGCAGTGTTTTTTTGGGGGGTTCCCCGGTTTGTTGTGATGCGTCTTGGGGCGGAGTCGTGCCGCCCCCCTCGGTGCCCCCGGCCTCTGCGCTCAGCAACGTGGCGGCGGATGGGCGGATCGGCGCAGCTTGCTAAACTGCGCTGCCACGCGTCCGCTGTCCGACAAAAACAGTCGGGCCTTGGGGTGGCCACCCCCTGCTGGGGTCCCCGAAGATCGATCTCCCAGGCGGTGGTGATGGGTAAATCCCCGCCTCGCAACCAGCAGCGCGGCCCGCATGCGGGAGTACCTGGACGTGTTTGGGTTCGAGCTGAGCGACGAGGAGATGTGCTCGATAACCTCTGCAGGAAGGGCCGCCGTGCAGGAGCGGCAGTTCTGGACGCAGGTCCCGGGGTTCTACGGGGAAGACCCGCGGCTGGAGCCAGAGTTTGGCAGTCAGGGCTAGCCGGAGCTGTCACTGGGGATCAGATGCGAGGCCTCTCCAGTTTTCTCCCCCCGCGTGCCGGCGTTCCTTCTGGCGCGCAGGTCTTTTCCCTGGTGGCGCGCCGAGGAACGGTCCTCTGTTCAGCGCCTTTTTTTTCGGCCGAAGTTGCACACATCGGTTTGCTGAGTAAGCTGGATGGCTCGCGACTGAAGTTCGCAAAAACCAGGTTTGTCCATAGTTCAGAAGAGTCAAGTAAAGGAGGGTTCAGTTAGAGTGCTGAAAGGAAAGCGTAAAGGTAGGAGCAGAGTAGAACTGTGTAGCGGAGGGTGTGTTTGTGTTGAACAGGGCAGGGTAGCGTATCAAGACAAGGGCCGATGCGGGCAGGGTATAGCGGGGGTGGAGCCGAGTATATAATATTTGAGTAGGGAAGCCTTTCGTATGATACATAAGAGTAGAATAGGATAGGGTGGAGAAAATATAACAGTAGCAGTACAAATCACAGTCGTAGTAACAGAAAGAGTGGCAATTACAGTACCAATCACAGTACGAAAAAAGTGCGACCAAGTGCAATCGTAATTGTAAGAGTGCAACGGAGCGTGCCACACTCGAATACAGCAGAGCACTACAGTGTGACTTGTGCCGTGTACTTGGGCTGGGTCCAGAAGGGTGGTGTCAAGTCTGGGTCGAGTAGACTTCTTTAGTCGGGCCGATCGTGCTGATCGTTTAATTGTTTAATTATTTAGTTGATGGATTGATGTTTGGCACTATGTGCTCAGTAGTGTATGTGTGTTGTGTGTGTAGCGTGCTGCATGTTGTGTGGTGCGTGTGGTGTTCGCTGTGTTGTACTAGTGGTGTGTGTGGCGCGTGTTGTGTACTCGTGTTTTTGGCCTCGGTGTTTTCTGCATGGCGTCGTAGGCTTGTTGGTCGGGGATTGGTGTATGGTGTTCGGTGCGTGCGTGTGCGGTGCTTGCTGTTTGGTGATGTGTGCGTAGTGTGTTTTGCGTTGGGTCGCGACCCCGCACCCGCTCATGGGCCCACCCAGAGACAACGCCAACCCCTTCTGAGCTCTTCGGGGGCCCAAACGGGAGAAGGAGGAGGAGGAGGAGGAGGCCTCGGCGCCTCTCTACGGGGCGCCCTCGGTTTCCCCCGAGGTGCGCCGAAGGGTGCCCGAAGGAGTTGGTGCTGGGCGGGGTGGTGGTTCGGCTGTTTTGCAGAATCCCCCTGAACTTGCAGATCACCGCAGGCTTTTCGGTATACTCCAGGACTCCTCAAGATTGCCTCAGGACTCCTCTTGAAGTCCGTTGGGTTCTGCACGGGGTCCAGATGATTCTGGATGATTCCTGTAGAAGTCGACATGGAATCCATAGGATTCCCCAGGCCCTCCTGAGGATTCCTTGGGACTGCCTTAGGACTCCAGCGGAGTGTCTTGGTTCAGTCGGGCAATCCTGTAAGAATGCCGATCGTATCCTATGGATTTCTGTGGCAATCTTTTTATACCAGTGGCAAGCTTTTGCTACCAATGCGCGCGGCGCTCAGGCGGCAGCCCCCTTTCGAAAAGGAGCAGCCCTCCACCCCTGTAGTTGCAACAGGACTTTGGGCCGAGGGCGCGCGGCGCTGAGACGAGAGCCACATGTTGCAAATAACCGGTGCTCAACCATGCACGTGTTGGAAGTTTAGGGACCGCGCCCCTGTTGGAAGTTTAGGGACCGCGCCCCCTGCTCCAGTCCATGGCGTACCTTGTCCTGTGCAAGATCTTCGGCACCGCCTGTTCTATGAGCCCTCCGGCCGCCTGAGGCCCCGCCCGCCCGCGCCCTCTCTCCCCAATTAGGGCTACCCGCGTCCCGTTTAGCTCCTGACCGGAAGGGGCCCGCTCCCGACCCGCAGACCAACAACAAAATATTGGAAGTTTAGAAAAGAAATTGTGCGCGGCGCTACGGCGAGAGCAGCATTTTGAAAATGCCCTGTGTTCCATCCCCGTAATTGCTGGACAATCGTAAGATGAATACGTATGCGCGGCGCTACGGCGAGAGCAACATTTTGAAACGCCATGTGCCCATCCCCATAACTGCTGCACACATACGACAAATGTGCGCGGCGCTATAGCGAGAGCAACATGTTGAGAACGACCTGTGCTCCGTCAGTGGGAATTTGGGGGGTTTTCAAGGCGAGTGTGCGCGGCGATACGGCCACAGCAATGGTTTGAAAACGACTTGTATTCCATCCCTGCACTTGTTGCAAGCTTGTAAGTCGAAAGTGCGCGGCGCTAGTGCGAGATCCAGATTTTGACCCTCCCCCTCCGCAGTCCGTGTCGCTGTTGCAAACTTCAAGTTTCAAGGTCATAAGTGGTGAAGAAGTCTCAGGCGAAATGTCCGGCCCGCCCTACTGACGTCCGGGGGGTGCGACAGGGGGGAATCCTTGATAAGAAAGAACCAGGGATGGGGCGTAAGCAAGCAAGTGACTACATTGCACATCAGTGCATCATCTCTGGAAGCATGCCTTGAATCCTGCACCTGTGCACCCTATGCTTGCTGAGGCGGGGGGCACTTCGTCTTGCACACTCTGCGGTAGTCAGCAGATTCTCGAACCTCCGCGGCAGCCAGGTGGGCGGCTATGCGGGCTGGCTGCTCAAGGAGCCCGGCGCAGACGCGCCCGCGCGAGCGGGAGGGGACATTGTGGGAGGCAGCGCGGTATGGGGCCCGCCGCGCCTTGGGTGATATTGAGCTCTCTCCTTCCCCCCCTCCCTCTCTCGTTCCATCCATCCCCCCTTCTTCCCCCTCTTCTTCCCCCCTCTTCTTCCACCCTCCTCTCTCTTCTTCCCCCCCTTCTTCCCCCCTCTCTTCTCCCCCCCCCCCCCCTTCCCTCCCTCTCCATCCATCCGCCCCCGCCCCCGCACCCACCCTCCTTCCCTCCCTCCCTCCCTCTCCCCTCCTCGGTGAGGTTTGCCTCCCCCCTCCCCCCCTCCCTCACCCTGGCCCACCACGGGTCGAGGTGAACTGAGGTCATAGCGGCTGGCCAGGTGTTTAGGCTTGCGGCTTGTCCTGTACGGGCTGGCTGGCTGACCCAAGAGCGGATCTCTTTAAGAGGCTCTTCTCCGCACGCACACGCGTTCTGCCTGGGGGCATCTCAGGTGATGGGCGGGACCCTTTCCTGGGCCTTCTCGTCAGGCCGCTGTGTGTGTAAGGCAGCCGGGGGACGCCCCCCCCCCCTCCCCCCCCCCTCGCCAGCCAGTCAGCCCCGCTCCTCTCCCGCCACGCCTTCGGTGCGGTTGCCTCCTCCTCATCCTCCTCCTCCTCCTCCTCCTCCTCCTCCTCCTCCTCCTCATCATCATCATCATCATCATCATCATCAGCATCATCGTCGTCATCATCATCATCATCATCATTATTATCATCATCAGCAGCAGCAGCATCAGCATCAGCATCAGCATCAGCATCAGCATCAGCATCAGCATCTTCATCATCACCATCATCATCATCATCATCATCATCATCATCATCATCATCATCATCATCATCATCATCATCATCATCATCATCATCATCCTTTTTGCGTTGGGCAATCTTGAGTGACGTGGATGTAGCGTCCATGTGAAAAATACGCCTGGCAGGCGTAGCAGAAAGGAAGATTAGGGGCGAGAGGCAAAGAAAAAAACAGCGGGCCCACCCTGGCACAGAGTTTTCGCCAGCCTCCTCCTCCTCGCCCCTCCTCCTCCTCCTCCTCCTCCTCCTCCTCCTCCTCCTCCTCCTCCTCCTCCCCCCTCCTCTTCGCCCCTCCTCCTCCTCCTCTCCCCTCCTCCTCGCCCCTCCTCCTCCTCCTCCTCCTCGCCCTCCTCCTCCTCCTCCTCCTCCCTCCCCCCATCCTTCTCCTCCTCCTCCCCTTCCTCTCCTCCTCCCCCTCCTCCTCCTCCCTCCCTCCTCCTCCTCCTTCTCATTCTCCTCGTCCTCCTCCTCCTGCCCAGCTCCCCTCTTTCTCCGCCCCCTCCTCCTTGGAGCGCCGAGCGGGCCCGCGGCCCCAGAGGTTTCGTGGCACCGCGCGCGCCCAGCGCGGCCTCCGGCGGCGCCAAGGCCGAGGGGCGAACCCCGACGTCGAGAGCGCACGGCATCTGAAGCGGACGTGGGGCCTCCCCTGCAGGGGGGGCGCGCATCAAGAAACCAGATGCTTTCCGTCAGGGTATCCTGGGTTTCTTCGCTCTGCGCGCTGCGCGGCGACTTCCCGCGGCCGTTGAAGGAGCTGCTGCGTTCAGAGTGCTCCAGGTTTTCCCTCCCGTGCACCTCGCGCGCCGGTTTTCAGGGTTGGGTTTCCTGCGAGGGTTTCTTGCGGCCGCGCCCGCACTGTATGGGGTCCGTCAGGGCTTCGTGTCGGCGCTCTTTCCTGTCCTTCTGCTTCCCTTCCCTCGCCCTCCTCCCTCCTCCCTCCTGGTCTGCTTCACGATCGCTTTCCACCTGGCTCGTGATGCGGACGGCACGGGCGCGAACCAACTCCGCGTTGATGTTGTTTTTGAACCAGGCACGCACATTCCAGGCCCCCATGTGGGGTCCGAGTAGATGGGGCCGGAGGCGATGCGGCGCGATCCTCCGACCCCACTTACCAGGACCCCCTTTGGGAGGCTTCTGATGCAGGCTCTTCTCAGACGTGAGTAGCACCGCACATGGACAAGAAGTTTGAACCCTGCGGCGCAAGATACCCCCCAGACCCCCAAGATTATTATAGGGGGTGCGGCAATGGAGAGGTCATGGGTGGACAGAAATGTTGGAACTCCCAAACAACCACCCATGCTAAAATCAACACTGATTTCCGGGCCGGGGGGGGGATGAGCATTTATGAGCACCCCCCTCTCAAGTGTGTGAGGTTTCGAATATGTTGTTCATGTGCTGCAGCTTTGTTTCCACG